AAGGGGTCACCCCAGCCAGGCAGCGCGCATTGTGCGGGGCCGGCTGGGGAGGCTGCGGCGAGGAGGATTTATGGCTGGCAAATAGTTTTGAATTCCTCCGCTTGCGCCTGCTTAAATGATGAACCTGCCCCTTGGGGATTGGGGCTATTGATTGTAATTTGCAGTTAAGCCCTCGCTTTCTGAGGAATCAGCATAATAAATACCCACCGCATTACGGCGGGGACGTGTCTGCAGGGAGGAGAAGGGAGAGGAGGTTCTCCCGGCTGCGGCGCCGGCAGCGGGATGCTCTCGCTGCCCTGGGGTTTGGGGGAGCTGGGGGGCTCCATCCCTGCAGGAAAAGGGTCCCCAGTTTGATGTGATGCAGGAACCCAAGGGCTGGAGGAGGGGAGGGTGAAGCTTTGGGGCTCTTTGCCAATCTCGGCTGCTTTGTGAAGGCAGGTGGAAGAGCCCTGTTCGTCCCCAAAAGGAGAGGGTGGTCTGGGGGTGTTGGGGTGATGGGTGTCTGGATCCTTTCTCTGTGCCCAGCCTGAGGAGCTGGTTGGTCCCAGCTCTGATGTGGAGAGGGATGTGTGTGTGTGTGTGTGTTCACCTCTGTGTCCCTGTGATTTCTCCTCCTAAACTCACCTTGTCTTGGGGATGGGAGTGGGTCAGGGCCATTTCACATCTGGGGTTCATGACACTGAGGGGTGGTGCAGATCTGTGTCCCGGGAGGGCTGTGGGGCTGTCCAGCCGTGTCACCGGGGGAGGAAGAGACAGGGACCAAGGCAGGAAGGGACGGGGAATGATCTGGCTGCTCCTCACCCCTCCAGCAGCTCCCCCCCTGCCGCTCCCCAGCTCTGCGGAGGGAAGCTCAGCTCCCGTCCCTCCGCTCATGAGTAGAGATGAGAATAATAGCAGTCATCAAATATGCATTGGGTAGCAGCAGCCCGCAGCTGCCGCGCAGCAAATATGGTCCTGCGGCTGCCGGGGGAGCGACGGTCCCCGCTGTAGAGCAAGGCCAAGAGCACGACGCCGGCAGAGCCAGGGCTTCAGGCAGAGCCCAGTGCCATGCGGGCCAGCTAGGCTACCCCAGGTGAGTGGCTGTGAGCCCCCCAGCTGGGTGGCATGTCCCATGGGGTTGTGGAGGCCACGATGGGAAGGACCAGGGAGGGACCCTTGTGTGCGACGTTGGTCCTTATGGAGATGCTGCGGCGTGGGGCTCGGCTCCCCTGGGTCGGGGCATACGGTGTCCTCTGATCTCTGGTTGTCCCTGTCTGTCTGCTCGCTGCCTTTGGCCCCCCTTATCTCACCTCCTGCCTCCCACCTTCCCCACACTCCCAACGTTCCCACTGTCCTCCAGAGCCCAGCCTCCCCCCTGAACGCCCCCTCCTTCCCCAGGAACCTCTACCCCGTGTCTCCTACCGCCTCTTCCCTAAATTCCTTTTACCTTGGGGCTGTTTTACCCCAGGAGAGACACCTGGCCCTGCAGCCGAGTTCTGTGGGGACCTGGGGCTCAGCTGCGGGGTCGAGGCGATGGCACTGGGCTGTGACCTGGCCCCGAGGCCACCAGCCGGCGTTCCTGGGTCGCACGCCAGCCCTGAGCCCAGGACACCTCGTGCCCAGCTGGTCTCTGCTTCCAGCATCTGCTCCGGCCTCTCTCCTCCCCATAACACCTCCCTCAGGGGCAGCTCTCGGTGTCAGGCAGCAGCTGGCAGGCAGGGGCACGGTGAGCATCCCCCAGGAGATACTGGGTTCCCCATCCTCCGTTTGGGGGAGGGAACTGGAGGGGGTGGAAATCAGCAGCTGGTGTGATGGGTGCTCTGGACGGCAAGGAGAGACACCCCCCCAAGTCCCTTGGGTGCTCAGGGGACCGTGCTGCTCCCACATTGCCCCTTGCTGGAAGCACGGTGAGCATCCCCCAGGAGATACTGGGTTCCCCATCCTCCGTTTGGGGGAGGGAACTGGAGGGGGTGGAAATCAGCAGCTGGTGTGATGGGTGCTCTGGACGGCAAGGAGAGACACCCCCCCAAGTCCCTTGGGTGCTCAGGGGACCGTGCTGCTCCCACATTGCCCCTTGCTGGAAGGGTCCAGCCTGTCCTGGTGCTCCCAGCATCCCTGGGGCTCATGTCTGCAGCAGCGGGAGCTGTGGCAGGGCTGCCCCCCCCAGCCCCCCGGGTGTTTAAAAGTGGATGCACTTCCCAGAACTGATGATGGGGAAGGAGATGCGATGAGATGCCGCAGCCGGGAGGTGCTTGGCCCAGCTGGGCTGGCTCCATGGGGCTGGTGTGGCAAGGTGTGGTGGGGCCGGCATGGCACACGGTGCGGTGGCACAGGGACCGGCTCCGGCTGTAACTGGAAACAGGCTGTAAGGGGACCCGGGGCCAGGCGGTGACCGCAGACCTGCCTGGAGACAGCGGAGCTGCTGCCCCCGGAGCTCTGCCCCACCGATGCTCCAAAGGTACAGTCCTGGGTGTCGTGCCGGGCTGGGGCGGGCGAAGCAGGACCCTGGTGGCCAAAGCCTCCTTCCCCTCTCTGCACCCAGCCCTGGCATGGCCCTGGGCTGCGGTGGTGGGACAGGAGGGACGTGTCCCTAGGGTGAGGTGGCTTTCCCTGCCTCAGCCATGTGGCTGGAGCTGCTCAGGGATAATGGGGTCAGAGGATGCTCTGGGCATCTTTCCCAGAGCCTCGGTCCTCACTGCCACCCCAGGCAACCCCTCGCTGCCAGGTTTTACACCCAGGGTCCCTCCCCTGTCCTGCTGCTGGATGTGGCCGTGCCCAGACACCCTGGAAGCAGCTGCCAAGTGCGGGTTTGGGCTTCATGGCCGTGGGTTCCCCTCTGACCCCCAGCATCCCGCTGCGCCTGGGCACAAATGCCCCTTCCCCAGCTCCGCCATGCCAAAGGCAGATGGTGAACACTGTGCCCATGGAGGAAGAAGCTGGGGAGGTGTGTGTGGGTCCAGTATGGGGACTGGGAGTGTGGAAGGCAGCCCCTGCATGGGGTGAAGCCTGCTGGGCTCTCCCCGCTCTCTCTTGCTCTCCCTTCCTCCGTGTCTCCTCTTGGAGAGCCCTTATTGCGGGCTGGCACCACAGGCACAGCCATGGTGATAGCACAGGGAGCCTTGCCAGCACCACCAGTCCCTCCTCTGCCCTGCCCAGCTCTGCCAAGAGTGCTGGGGACAGAGGTAGGGGCCACGAAGGGCAGAGGGATGGAGGTGGGGATTGTACAGGTGGTGGGACAGAGGTGTGGATGGCAGAGGGTGGCAGGACGGAGGTGGGGACCTGCCGCAGCTTCTTGCCAGCGGGGTATCCCCTTGCTTGCTGCCAGCAGCCAAGGGAGGGGCCATGCCCGTGGTGGTTCCCCCCCACGTCGTGGTGCCCAGGCGTCGCTCCGTGCACCCGTGCCAGGAGGAGGGATGGCGTGGTGATGCGGGTCAGGCTCCTGTCCTGTGGGCAGGGCAGGCTGCATCGTCCCCATATGGCATGGTGGCAGTGGCAGACCTGTGTGTGGACCATGCCAATGCCATGGCAGGGTCCTGTGAGGCAATGGTACCCTTATGTTTCAGGCTCTGCTGATGCTCTTTCCCCCTGACCCCATGTTTGTGTCACCCCATAGACTCTCTCTTGATACCTGCTCTGTCCCTCTGCTCTCCCTGCAGCTCCGGGGTGACATTCCCTCTGTGCAGACCCCACCGGGGTGTCTCTGGCACAGAAATTAATGCAGGGAGGGGGCCAAAACCATCAGGTCACAGTTGATACCCCCTCTGCTGCAGGGAGGGACCGGACTGGGGAGAAAACAGCACCATGGGGTGCCAGCCATGGGGTTTGCTGGTCCTGGGGGAGGCCAATGGGTTTGGTCCAGCGACTGCTACTGGTTCTTGGTTCCCCCAGCTGCTGCACAGCTGGATGCTGATGCTGCTCCTCCTCTGGGTCTCCCCAAATGCACCCTGTGGAGGGATGGAGTGGGTGCTGCCCCTGCCTGCAGGGGTCCTGCTGCTGCCCGCAGGTGATCTGCGCAGGGCAGCAAGTTTCCCACCGCCGCTGCTTAAACTTTCATGAAGCTGCAGCCTCAGGAATCCAGCCCTGGCATTAACATTTGATGTGGTCACCCTGCGTCTGGGCACGTGCGTGTGCAAACGCATCCCTGGCACCCCCCTGGGAACACGTGTGGCACATGCAAACCCCATCACCAGCTGCTGTGTGGGCACACGTGGCACCCTGCGTGTACCCACAATGTGCCTGACACAGCATGGGGGGTGCCCCCATGGGCTCCTGGCTTCTCTCTGCTTCCCAGCAGGGCTGCTGGAGTTGGTCTGGTGTTGGGGTTCCTCCTCTATGGTGCTCCCCTTGGCTGTGCTCTCGGTGCCGGGGCATCACGTGTCTTGGGCTCTGCAAAATTGTCTTCTCTCTCTTGGTGCCACAGTTTATCTTTGTGTCCCTGTGCTTTATCCTCCTCCGTGTCGGAGGAAGAGGCTGATTCCCCAGGGAGCTCAGAGGTGTGGGGAGGTGGCAGGGGCCACTTTCAGGGTGGTGATGGTGCTCTGTGCCATCCCCTGCGGTGTCCTACCAGGGGATGCTCCTGTGGGGTCCAGGTGCTCCCTGCACGCGCCGTGGGGGCCCTTTCCTGCTCCTTCGGAAAAGTCTCGGGGCCGGAGTGGCGCATCCCTTACATTATTCATGCCGCCGCCAGCCCCGGCGGTTGGGTTACAGCCGGAGCCCAGCCGGCAGCACCGCGCTGCCCGACTCACCAGGTGCTGCGGGAAGCAGGAGGCAGCTCCCACCGGGCTGCACCGGGGCCGCCGTCCCACCGCCCCAGCGCCATGCCAAGCGGGGGGCCACCAGCGGCCAAGGGAGCCACGCACGGGCACGTGCCTCGCCAAAGCCGGGCACAGGTAAATACCCCCCTGGGGCAGGCTGTGGGGTCGGGAGCCAGACGGTGTGCCAGGAGCCACCTCGTGCCGGAGCGGGGCATCATCTCCCAGGGCCCCACTGGGGCCAGAGCATGAGTGCCCGCCACCACCGGGATGGTTGGCAAGAAGGGGGAGCCCAAAAAGGATGCGGGGGGCAAAGGGAAAGGGAAGAAGGGCAAGAAGGATGCGCCCAGCGAGACGGAGGAGACCTCGGACACGGAACTGCTGAAGGCAGAGGAGAGCGAGGAGACGGAGGTGGTGGAGGAGGAGAAGGATGAGAAGGAGAAGGAGAAGGATGAGAAGGAGAAGGATGAGGAAGAGGCGGCTGTGGAGGAGCCCAAGAAGGGGAAGGGGAAGGAGAAGAAGGGGATGCTCAAAGGGGTGGGGATGAAGAAGCCGGGCCGGGGGAAGAAGGCGCAGGCGGAGACGGAAGAGGAAGAGGGTGAGAGCGATGCCGCGCAGACCAAGAAGAACCTGAAGGGCACCTCCAAGTTGGCGATTGGGCTGGCAACTGACAATGCCAAGAAGAAGAAAGGGGCCAAGGGTGCGGAGGCCAAGGGTCAGCCCAAAGCATCCGCAGAGCCTGGCCTGACTGAGGAGGAGGAGGCGGCGGTGGCAGCGGCGCCGAAGGCCCGGGTGAAGCGGAGCCTCCGCAGCACCTCCAAGCTCTTCATGGGCTTCAAGAAGCTGGGGCTGCGGCGGCCCAAGAAGGGGCAGTTCAAGAACACGTCCCGCTTCTTCTGGGGGCTGCAGAAGCACAGCACCAAGAAGAAGAAGAAGAAGAAGAAGAAGGCGGTGCTCAAGTCCACCTCCAACCTGATGGTCCGCTTCAAGCACGTGGGCAAGAAGAGGAAGGAGGCAGCCAGCACCACCCCGCCGGCCAAGCCGTCCTTCCTGCTGCTACGGCGGGGCGGGCAGGTGGCCGAGGACAGCGCGTCCCTCTTCCGCCGGCGCCCGGAAAGGAAATTCAAGCCACGGGCACAGGTGTTGAGCAAGGCGGCCGCCGCCACGGGTTGGCTGGCCAGGAAGGTCCTCTCCCGGCGCGGGCGGCTGGTGGGGGGCAGCCGGGCGGCCGACACAGCCTGGCTCACCCGTATCGGTGCCAGGAAGCTGCCCTTCCCCGCGGAAGACGAGATCCTCAGGCACCGGGCCAACATGAAGCGGATCCCCGGCGGCGGCGGGCTGTCGGCCCCCAGCGCCACAGGGCACGTCCAGGAGAGGCAGGGCAGCATGGTGCGGCGCCCGTCCCGGCGGCGCTCCCAGCGCGCGCCCGCGGAGATGCCAGTGCCACGCTACGGGTGGGCCGAGGAGGAGGATGGAGCCTACAGCCGCCGGCGAGGCTACGCCAAGGAGGAGGATGGAGCCTACGGCTCCCGCCGCGGCTACGCCAAGAAGGAAGATGGCGCCTACGGCCCCCAGCATGGCTATGCTGAGGAGGATGGAGCCTATGGGCCCTGGCGTGGCTACGCTGAGGAAGACGATGGAGCCTACGGCCCCCGGCATGGCTATGCTGAGGAGGAGGAAGGCTACATCCAAAACCCAGCCTACCCTGCAGGGTACGGCTTCGAGGACACGGTGCCAAGCCCTTATGCCGACTACCCTGGCTACGAGGCAGATGAAGACTATGGCTTCTACGGCGGGTTTTGGGAGGAGGGTGACCCACCAGGGCACCCCTATGGCTACGCGGAGCTCGAGGATGAGGGAGCATTTGGAGGCAGGTCCCCCCTGGCCCTCTACGACCCTTACAGCAGCGACCCAGAGTACGGCGAGGAGGTGGCGAGGCCCTTTGGCTATGGAGGGGACGCCTACGAGGACTTCGGGGAGCCCCTCGCTGGAGGGTACCTGGGGGGTGAATACCCTGAGCATCGCATCCAGTACAGCGAGGGGGGGTGGGCGCCGCACGCCCAGTCCTCCTGCAACCCCTACGCCCTGGGCCTGGAGGAGATTGCTGAGGCCGAAGAGCCCGAGGAGTGGGAGGAAGAGGAGGAGGAGGACGGGGAGTATCCCTTCTCCATCCTCAGCACCTCCTCGCTCCGGGGCATGCGGGAGACGCTCTCCTCCAAGCTCTCCCTCAATAGGAAATTCAGGCTCTTCCCCCGGCCACAGGTCAAGCTCTTCGGCAGGGACCGCCTGGATGTCCCCCTCCTGCCATCTCCCCACCTGCCCACCGCCCGTGACGAGGACGACTACGATGAGTATGAGCCACCTCCACCACCGGCAGCCCCCAGCCCCCCGGCACCCCCAGGACGGCGGGTTTCAGCAGCGCGGGCGTGCGGGAGCCCCCTGGGGCAGTTCCTCCAGCGTTCCCTCTCGCAGCCCCCCAGCCGCCTGCCTCGGGGGGCAGGGGGATTTCGGGACCCCCACAACCCCCAGCCCTCCTACAGACGCTCCAGCCGCAGGCTGGAGGGGATGGAGAGCGCCGGCTCGGGGGGCCGGGACCCCCCAGTGCGATCATTTTCAGCCAGGGACCCTTCCTCAACGGCGGGGCCCTGGGGACAGCCCCCTCCCCGAGAGGCGGGGGCTGTGCGGCGGCTGTCGCTCCGTAACCCCTTCGCCAACCCCGGGCGCTCCCCGTCACCGCCGCCATCCCAGCAGCCCCCCGGCAGCGTGCAGGGTGAGGGGCCACGGCGATCCCCCTCCCTCGGGGCCAGCCTCCGGCGGTTCAGTCCTGAGCCCCCCACCCCACCATCAGCTGCCCCCCGCTCACCGGGGCCAGTGGCGGGGAGGCGTTTGGGGGTCCCCGTGGGGGGGTCAGGGAGACCTCTGTCCCCACGGCCGTCGCGGCGGAGCAGCCCCCCAGGGCTGCCACTCCCACAAGCCTGGTCCCGGCTTCCCGAGCCCCCCACCAAGGCAGTGAAGCCGCTGCAGAGGACCCCTTTCCTGGCACCCACCTCTCGCCCCGGCAGCCGCCGCCTCAGCCCCCCCGGCCCCTCCTGGGATGCGGATTTGCCCCCCTGGCAAGGTCCCGCACGGGGTCTCGCCGGGGTGCCCCCACCTCCCAACCCTGCTCCCAGCACCCCCAAAAGCTTCATCCAGCGCATCGGGCAGCCCCTTGCCGGGATGGCCCCCCGCTCCCCCACGGCGAGGCCAACTCCGGCTGAAGTGGGGGCCCGCACCCCCTCCCCAGGGCGCTCTGTGGGGCAATCCCTGGCGTCGCTGCTCGTGGAGAGCATGGCCCCCGCCAAAGCCCCTCCGTCCTCACCGCCCACCCGCCGTCCCTCCTCCTGCTTGCCCTCCTTGCCCCAGCGCCCATCCTGGCGGGACAGGAGCACCCGCAGATCACCGAGCCCACCGGCGGGTCACCGGGCATGGCCCGACACTGGCCGCCCTGTCACCTCCTCCTCCCAACGTGGGGACCGCAGCCCCTCACCCCAGCGTCGCGCTGCTTTCCCGGCACCCCACAGCCGAGCCCCCGGCTCACCGGCCGCCCTCCGCCGCGGTGCCCGTACCCCGGGGCTGGCGGAGGGCATGGAGGGTGACGGGGCGGCCGGGGAGGAGGGCGCGGGGCGCTATGCGGTGGTGACGCCGCAGGTGCAGAGGTTGGGCTCCTTCCGCCGGGCATCCCGCATGTACAAGCAGCACTGGTCCACGCAGCACGTCGTGCGGGTGCGGGAGATGCCCGACGCCTGGACGGCCGAGCAGGGTCTCCTCCGGCAGCCCAGCCAGCGCGGCCGCCGGTGGGCGAGCCAGCGGGGAGCCAACATCGCCCGATACCTGAGCCAGCGCTCGCCGGCGGGCGGCTGGAGGGACAGGCACCCCTGGGCAGCTGGCTACCTGGGCACCAAGCAGCCCTGGCGCACCAAGGTAACGCCGGTGGGGAGCCCACTGTGGGTGCCGGCAGTGGGATGGAGCTGGGGGTGGGGGCAAGCCAGCAGCTGGAGGGACCCGGGATGGGATGTTGAGCTACCAGCTCACTGGGGCATGAAGCCACCAGAGCCGGGGGGTTTCAGTGGCCAGGATGGGGGGTTATGGGGACGCTGGGTGCTGGCAGGGGTCCTGCTGTGAGGGACCAGGCTGGAGAGGGGGTGGTCATTGCCTGTTGTGTGTCCCCCCCCGTGCATGGCCCCCTTGGGGATACTTGACTCTTCGTATGGAAATGCTGAGACCTGATCTCCAGCTGGGATGGGTGCAGGTGACACGCTGACCTGGCGGGTGTCCGCTTTCTGCCTGTCACCTGGCCGGCTGCCAGCATGGCCTCCTGTGTGTCACCTGCCCCACATGGCCGTGGGGAGCAGCCCCCAGCCCCCCGGCTCAGCCACCACTGCAGCCCCCATCCATCATCTCCCCTGGAGGTGCCACCCTGCCTGGGGGTCTCTGTCACCTGCACTTTGCAGCCCCCGGGGGGGTTTGGGTGAACCTCGGGGTGTTGTGGTGGGGGTGGCAGAGCTGCCTCTGCCTGTTCCTGCCTGTCCATGGTGAGTGGGACCAGGGGTCTCCAGGAACAGCCTTTCCTGCAACAGGGATGTCTTGGTGTCCCCATGTCCCCATTTCTACTGCTGCTGCTGCTCTCCCTCAACTTGTGACACTCTTGTTGGGGGACCTGTTTCGGTGCTATGGGATGCTTGCTCCTGTCCCTGCCATCGCTGGCTGCAGGCTTTATGGTTTGGGGTCACAGATGCTGGTTTTGGGGTGGTGGCAGTGACAGGGTGGGACACCGGACGGGGTTGGCACAGCCTTGCTGTGACGGAGCCGGGCTGGGTTGCTCCATGCAGATGCAGTCACTGTGCAGCCTGCCCATCGTGCGGTACCAGGAGGCTCAGGAAGAGGACGGGCTGGAGGACATGACCCAGCTGGAGTGAGTGTCCCCATCCCCTTCTCCACACGCTGTGACCCAGTGCCGCGGGAGCCAACAGGGCTGTAAACACCCCTCACCATGCACCCCACATCTCCCACTGCTCCCCACTCCATCCCATCCCATCCCAACACAGGGTCTACTCCAGCCTGGGGACACTGGGGACATGCTGGGGGGCAGCAGACACCTCCTGTCCCATCACCACCCCTAACACAGCCTCTGCTTCACTCTAGGGACCTCCAGGAGGCCGCGGTGCTGAGCAATATCCGGACACGGTTTGAACGGCAGCTCATCTACGTAAGCTTAGGGGCACACAGCGTCCCCTGAAGACCCTGGGTGTGGGTTCTTCAGGGGGGTCATCGCTCTCCAAGCCCTCGTAGCCCCAAACTTCACTCTCCCACAGACCTACATTGGCAGCATCCTGGTGTCGGTGAACCCCTACCGGCTCTACAACATCTACGGGACAGAGCAGGTGCTGCAGTACGAAGGCAGAGCGCTGGGAGAGAACCCACCGTGAGTACCTGGGTGTCCCCGAACACCCTGTGGGGACAGGGACACCCCTACCCACACCTTAACCCCCCCTTAACAACAGGGTCCAGGCTGGGTAGTCCCATGGCTCTGAGGACACTCGGTCACAGGGTGCTGGAGCATCTGTGTCCATGCATGGGGATGCTTGGGGTGCAGTGGGGGTCCCCATGGTGGGATGAGGTGGCACTGCACCCCCCACCTCTGCTTTCCTCTCCCCTCAGGCACCTCTTTGCCATCGCGAACGTCGCCTACTCCAAAGTGATGGATGCCAAACACAACCAGTGTATCGTCATCAGGTGGGACACAGCTCTTCCCCAGCACAGCCCCCCCTCCCCGGGATGGCCCCTCATCAGCGCTGCCATAATTAACGGTTGCAGGATGATGCCATCAGCCTGACCCATCCCCGGGGCCAATGGGTGCTACTGGGTTTGGGGTGCTGGGTGGGTTTAGGATGGGCACACCCCTCTGGCTCCCTGCTCAGCTGGTGATGGCCCCGGCTGTGCCCCTTCTCTGCGTTTCAGTGGGGAGAGCGGCTCGGGGAAGACCGAAGCCACCAAGCTCATCCTGCGCTACCTGGCAGCCGTCAGCCAGAAACGCAGCACTACCCCGCAGGTAGGGTGCTGCCCCGGGGGACATCCCTGTCCCCATCCCCTTGTCCCACTTCCCTGTGTTCTCCTCCGCTCCATTGCTCATGGCTCTGCTGCTCTCTCCTTGTCCCCATGCTTCCATCTGGACCACGGCAGATAGAGGTAATGGGGAGGTCACATGGGCTGGGGAGGTTCAAAGGGACTGAGCATCGTGGTGGCATCTCTGCCATGTCACCCCAGTGGTGGGGGGACAGCAGGGATGGACAGCAGGAGCTTGGTGCATGCATGTGCATGGGGTCCTTGTGCTCTCCTGTATCCTGGTGCAGCCCATGGGCTTCTGCACAGGGCAGGAGGTGGCAGGGAGCACAGCATGAGCGGCAGGGTGACAAGAGGGGTCCCTTAGCCATGGGGACAGCCTGCAGTATGTTGGGGTGCCTGGGCTGACCCCGTGGCTCTCCCCATTACCGTGGCAGATCCTGGAGGCGACCCCCTTGCTGGAATCCTTCGGCAACGCCAAAACCGTGAGGAATGACAATTCCAGCAGGTTTGGGAAGTTTGTGGAGATCTTTCTGGAGGAGTAAGTAATGTTGAGCAACACTCCTGCGTGGCCTGCCCCAGACCCTGTGTCCCTCCCCTGTCCCACAGCTCTGGGGTGGGATGCACACGGGGATGCTTTTGGGGACAAACCTTGGCTGAGGTTGCCACCCGAGTGCCCGCTCTCATCCCTGCAGCGGCTTGATCTGCGGTGCCATAACCTCCCAGTACCTGCTGGAGAAGTCCCGTGTGGTCTTCCAGGTGGGTGGCGAGGGGGTCCCCAGCTCTTCTCCCCTCCCCACATCATCCCCCCCACCAGCCCCTACCCCAGAATGGTCCTCTGCTCCCCAGGCCAAGACCGAGCGCAACTACCACATCTTCTATGAGATGCTGGCAGGGCTGCCCACCCAGCAGCGGCAGCGGTACTGCCTGCAGGGCGCCGAGACCTACTACTACCTGAACCAGGTAGCGTGCCCCCTGCATGACCCCCACCCCACACCCGTTTTTTTGGGGGGTTGGCCAAGCTCGGGGTGCCAGTGAGTTCCTGAGTCCTCCTGGATTGGGTGTGCAGATGGGGAGGGTGCTCAGGGCAGGGTGTCACCTTCATCCCCACCCCTGGGTGCTGTCTTCGGGACCCACTGATGGCACCGAGGGGTCCATGCCAGGGTGGGAACTGCGAGATCCCGGGCAAGGATGATGCAGAGGATTTCCGTCGGCTGCTCAACACCATGGAGGTGCTGAGCTTCAGCGTGGAGGAGCAGAACAGCATCTTCCGCATCCTCTCCTCCGTCCTCCACCTGGGCAACGTCTACTTCGAAAAATACGAGGTACCCCCAGGGGAGCCAAGCTGTGCTCCTTGGGCTCGATTTGGGATGCGGCAAAGGTGTGTGTGGGGTGTCACCGCATCCCACCACCTCACCGTGTCCCACAGACTGACTGCCAGGAGATTGCCACGGTGGTGAGTGCCACGGAGATCCGGACGGTGGCCGAGCTGCTGCAGGTCTCCCCTGAGGGACTGCAGAAGGCCATCACCTTCAAGGTGACGGTGAGTGCGGGATGGGGACACAGGCAGGGAGGGGGCATCCCTGGTCCCTGGGGACCGTGACTGGTCTTGGTAAAACTCTGTCATGATATTGGTTTTGTGCACCCAAACCAGGAAACGCAGCGGGAGAAGATTTTTACCCCCCTGACTGTCGAAAGTGCCGTGGATGCCAGGTAGAAGGAGCGGGGAACTGTGCTGTGTGGGGACATGGGGGTGTCTGGCCCCTGGGGATGGGGCAGGAGGTGAGATGCCAGGCTGAGAAAGGGGACAGTCGAGTCCCCCCATGCAAGTAGGCTCTCCAGTGATTAAAACTGCAGCCTCTGGGGCTGCCCTCTGCACGAAGTGAGGCCGTGATGGGTGGTGGCCAGGGTGGTGGGATGTGTGCCATGCCATGTCATGCCAGAGCTCCAGTGCTCTGCTCATCTGCCCCCTCCCCAGGGATGCCATTGCCAAGACTCTCTACTCCCTGCTCTTCGGCTGGCTCACAGACCGCATCAACAAGCGGGTGTACCCGCGGCAGGAGGCCCTCTCCATTGCCATCCTGGACATCTACGGCTTCGAGGTGAGCAGGATCCATCCTGGCTCCATCCCCCCGGCCACCAGCCCCGGGGCTGTGGGGTCTCAGGTGCTGTTGACCTTCCTTCTTGCAGGACCTCAACTTCAACAGCTTTGAGCAATTGTGCATCAACTATGCTAACGAGTACCTGCAGTTCTTCTTCAACAAGATCGTCTTCCAGGAGGAGCAGGTGGGGCCAGTGAGGGGTGCTGGGCTCTGGCTCATGCCAAGCATCACCATGGGGCTGGAGGTGTGGGGCTGACCGAGTGCTGGCACTGCAGGAAGAGTATATCCGGGAGCAGATCGAGTGGAAAGAGATCCCCTTCAGTGACAACCAGCCCTGCATTGACCTCATCTCCCAGAAACCCTATGGCATCCTACGGATCCTTGATGACCAGAGCTGCTTCCCCCAGGTGAGGGGCTGCCCAGTTGGCAAGGATGGCAGCACCAGGTGGCCACTGTGCCCAGGGTGACACCATGGCCCAGGGCTGCTCTGCTGTTGGGCTGTCCTGGAGAACCCGGGAGAACTCTTGGGTTTATGAGGGCTGGACAAGCTCTGAGAGGTTCCAGGTCTGTGCCACTGGAGAAACTTCTCCTAGAGGACTTGCTTTTGCAGGAATTACTGAAAAACCCCTCCCATCTTCCCTATAAAAGAGGGAAGGGTGGTTGTGCCCTCTCTGCTGATGGGGAAACTGAGGCACAGAGCAGCAGATGCCCATGTCTGTGTAGTTGCTTGGTGGCAGATCTGAGAGCGGGGTCTGGCTGTTGTCCAGGCATCCCCATCCTGGTCCATACATCCCCTGAGACTGCTGAACAGCCCAAGCCATGTCTCACCACTGCTTCTGTCCCCAGGCCACCGACCACACCTTCCTCCAGAAGTGTCACTACCACCACGGGATGAACCCACTGTACACCAAGCCCAAAATGCCACTGCCTGAGTTCACCATCAAGCACTATGCAGGGAAGGTGACCTACCAGGTGTGTAGCAGTGGGATGCCCCGCGAGAATTTTAAGGAGGGTTAATGAGAAGGTTTATGGGGTTGATCCCACAGCAGGGGATGAGGACCAGCCCAGGGGGTCTGGCTGGGGGCACTGCTTGGTGCTCCTTCCATACTCCTCACCATGAGGTTTTGCTCTTTGCCAGGTTCACAAGTTTCTGGACAAAAACTATGACCAGGTCCGTCAGGATGTGCTGGACCTGTTCATCAGCAGTAGGACCAAGGTAGGACCCTGCCTGGCCCTGGCTCCGCAGTGCTGCAGGGACATGGGGCATGGGTAACCCCCTTCCATACACACCACTTCTCATGTCCCCAAGCCTGTGCCCCTGTGGCTGGTGAAGCCCAGGGGGACCAGGAGCAGAGGATGCCTCCAGATCTGCCCCATGTCCTCTTTCCACTGGGTCTTCTGTGCTTTGACCCCTCAAGCATGGGCACAGGTGGGCATACAGGTTGCTCATGTGCTTCTCCATCCCCATCTGGGAAACCCAGCCACAAATAGGGGATGCAACTTGCTCAGGGCCAGGCAAAAAGGCAGTGGCTGGGCTGGGAAGAGGAGTCAGGGGAGTTTGCACCATCCTGGCCACCTTTCTCCTCCCTAACCCTTCCCATCTCCCCCAGGTGGTGGCCAACCTCTTCTTCGGCCATGCCCAGGTGTTAGCCCGGCAGAGGAGCCTCATCAGGAGGAGCAGCACCAGGACAAGGCGGTACAAGGCTCCCACTGTGGCTGCCCGGTTCCAGCAGTCACTCCTGGAGCTGGTGGAGAAGATGGAGAGGTCAGGGTGGGCAGGGCAGGCAGCCACACCATGCTCTGGGAGCAGGGTGACAGCCAGACCTGAGCCTGGGGTGGCCAGGCTGGCTTTGTCCCCTCTACCCCCTTGCTGACGGGGTTTCTCCAATGCAGGTGCAACCCCTTCTTCGTGCGCTGCCTCAAACCCAACAACAAGAAGGTGAGATGCTGATGCTGCCTGCCCTGGCCAGCACGGGGTGTGTGGCGGGAGCACGGTGGGCAGGGATCTGCCTGCACAGCCACTGAGGTTTCTCCCCATCCCACCCCCAGGAGCCGGGGCTCTTCGAGGCTGACGTGGTCAGCAGCCAGCTGCGGTACTCGGGGATCCTGGAGACCATCCGCATCCGCAAGGAGGGCTTCCCCATCCGCATCCCCTTCCTCGTCTTCATCGACAGGTGCCTGGGGGCTGTGGGTTGGGTGCCACCATCCTACTGAGGGGACACCAGAAAGCTATTTTGTAGGGCAGTGCTTGGCTTAGGGATCTCCCCCATTGGGAGCTCACTGCTGTGACACACAGCACTGGGAGGAGCTGCTTTCCCGGGCACGGTGCTCATCACCACAGGGATGGTCTGTGCGGTGTCCTGGCGGAGTCCCCCCTGGTGATGGTGTTGTGGACTTGCCCAGGTACCGCTGCCTTGTTGACATGTGGTCCAACGTCATTCCCAATGGGGCTAACTGTGTGGAGATGCTGAGGAACCTTTGCCCTGTCAACCCTAGCATGTACTACGTCGGTGTCACCAAGGTACCATGGTGGTCTCGGCTCTGGTGATGCCCTGGGGAGGGTGGCTGAGGTGGGGGACTCATGACATCACCCTCCCTCCCAGCTCTTCCTTAAGGAGCAGCTGTACCAGGCGCTGGAGAGCAAGCGGTCCCGTGCCCATCACCTGGCTGCCCTCACGCTCCAGCGCTACGCTCGCACCTTCTTCATCAAGAAGCGTTTCCGCTCCCTCCGCCGAAAGATCGTCCTCCTGCAGAGCCGGGCACGGGGCTACTTGGCCAGGTGGGGGTCCCAGGGGGATGGCGGATGGGTGCTGGTGGGTGGCAGAGCGTGATGGGTGCCCTCCTGCAGGCAGCGGTACCGGCGCATGCGGCACACGCTCATCAAATTCCGGTCGCTGGTGCACATCTACGTGAACCGCCGGCGGTACCTCAAGGTGAGGTGGGGGCTGACACATCCCAGGGGGTAGTTGCTTGGTGGCAGATCTGAGAGCGGGGTCTGGCTGTTGTCCAGGCATCCCCATCCTGGTCCATACATCCCCTGAGACTGCTGAACAGCCCAAGCCATGTCTCACCACTGCTTCTGTCCCCAGGCCACCGACCACACCTTCCTCCAGAAGTGTCACTACCACCACGGGATGAACCCACTGTACACCAAGCCCAAAATGCCACTGCCTGAGTTCACCATCAAGCACTATGCAGGGAAGGTGACCTACCAGGTGTGTGGCAGTGGGATGTCCAGCGAGAATTTTAAGGAGGGTTAATGAGAAGGTTTATGGGGTTGATCCCACAGCAGGGGATGAGGACCAGCCCAGGGGGTCTGGCTGGGGGCACTGCTTGGTGCTCCTTCCATACTCCTCACCATGAGGTTTTGCTCTTTGCCAGGTTCACAAGTTTTTGGACAAAAACTATGACCAGGTCCGTCAGGATGTGCTGGACCTGTTCATCAGCAGTAGGACCAAGGTAGGACCCTGTCTGGCCTTGGCTCCGCAGAGCTGCAGGGACATGGGGCATGGGTAACCCCCTTCCATACACACCACTTCTCATGTCCCCAGGCCTGTGCCCCTGTGGCTGGTGAAGCCCAGGGGGACCAGGAGCAGAGGATGCCTCCAGATCTGCCCCATGTCCTCTTTCCACTGGGTCTTCTGTGCTTTGACCCCTCAAGCATGGGCACAGGTGGGCATACAGGTTGCTCATGTGCTTCTCCATCCCCATCTGGGAAACCCAGCCACAAATAGGGGATGCAACTTGCTCAGGGCCAGGCAAAAAGGCAGTGGCTGGGCTGGGAAGAGGAGTCAGGGGAGTTTGCACCATCCTGGCCACCTTTCTCCTCCCTAACCCTTCCCATCTCCCCCAGGTGGTGGCCAACCTCTTCTTCGGCCATGCCCAGGTGTTAGCCCGGCAGAGGAGCCTCATCAGGAGGAGCAGCACCAGGACAAGGCGGTACAAGGCTCCCACTGTGGCTGCCCGGTTCCAGCAGTCACTCCTGGAGCTGGTGGAGAAGATGGAGAGGTCAGGGTGGGCAGGGCAGGCAGCCACACCATGCTCTGGGAGCAGGGTGACAGCCAGACCTGAGCCTGGGGTGGCCAGGCTGGCTTTGTCCCCTCTACCCCCTTGCTGATGGGGTTTCTCCAACGCAGGTGCAACCCCTTCTTTGTGCGCTGCCTCAAACCCAACAACAAGAAGGTGAGATGCTGATGCTGCCTGCCCTGGCCAGCACGGGGTGTGTGGCGGGAGCACGGTGGGCAGGGATCTGCCTGCACAGCCACTGAGGTTTCTCCCCATCCCACCCCCAGGAGCCGGGGCTCTTCGAGGCTGACGTGGTCAGCAGCCAGCTGCGGTACTCGGGGATCCTGGAGACCATCCGCATCCGCAAGGAGGGCTTCCCCATCCGCATCCCCTTCCTCGTCTTCATCGACAGGTGCCTGGGGGCTGTGGGTTGGGTGCCACCATCCTACTGAGGGGACACCAGAAAGCTATTTTGTAGGGCAGTGCTTGGCTTAGGGATCTCCCCCATTGGGAGCTCACTGCTGTGACACACAGCACTGGGAGGAGCTGCTTTCCCGGGCACGGTGCTCATCACCACAGGGATGGTCTGTGCGGTGTCCTGGCGGAGTCCCCCCTGGTGATGGTGTTGTGGACTTGCCCAGGTACCGCTGCCTTGTTGACATGTGGTCCAACGTCATTCCCAATGGGGCTAACTGTGTGGAGATGCTGAGGAACCTTTGCCCTGTCAACCCTAGCATGTACTACGTCGGTGTCACCAAGGTACCATGGTGGTCTCGGCTCTGGTGATGCCCTGGGGAGGGTGGCTGAGGTGGGGGACTCATGACATCACCCTCCCTCCCAGCTCTTCCTTAAGGAGCAGCTGTACCAGGCGCTGGAGAGCAAGCGGTCCCGTGCCCATCACCTGGCTGCCCTCACGCTCCAGCGCTACGCTCGCACCTTCTTCATCAAGAAGCGTTTCCGCTCCCTCCGCCGAAAGATCGTCCTCCTGCAGAGCCGGGCACGGGGCTACTTGGCCAGGTGGGGGTCCCAGGGGGATGGCGGATGGGTGCTGGTGGGTGGCAGAGCGTGATGGGTGCCCTCCTGCAGGCAGCGGTACCGGCGCATGCGGCACACGCTCATCAAATTCCGGTCGCTGGTGCACATCTACGTGAACCGCCGGCGGTACCTCAAGGTGAGGTGGGGGCTGACACATCCCAGGGGGGTCCCAGGCACCAGCTCCCATCCTGCTGCATGTTCAGTGGTGGGTCTGGAGAGGGAACAGCGGCACCCCCAGATCCTGAGGCCCCACAGATCCCATCTCCATCACGTCCTCCATGCCCCGTGGGGCATGGGCAATGCCTCTTTGGGGTGAAAGTCTGATGATTCCGGGGGGTGATGGCACCCTGGGGGGGTCCCGCCGCCTCTGGGGACTGTCCCCACCTCTGCTGGTGGGGGCTCAGTGTGGCTGCTCTGCTTGCAGAGGAAGGAGGATGCCCGCCGGCGGGCGGAGGAGGAGAGGGAGAGGATGAAGCAGGTAATGGGCCACAGGCATGCATTGGTGGGGGGAACATCCATGTGTGATGTCTGTGCAACCCATATTGCTGTGCCTTCAACCCTGCCACGTGCTCGCCCGTCCCCGTGCTGCTGGCCAGGGCACCCATGGGTGCTGGGGCAGGGAGCAGCGTGCTGAGTGGGTACATCCCTGTGCTGGGCTGGCAGGAACTGACGAGGAGGGAGGTGGTGGACGTCACCCACCTGGAGATCCCAGCTGAGCTGATGGGGCTGCTGGAAGCTGCCGCAGGTGAGTGGGTCCTGCACCACCACTGGCCCCATTCCCAGCCCCTTGTCCCCATCCCCGTGGTTGTGCCATAGCTTCCCACTGCGCCGTAGCCTCCCGGGAGGTGAACGCCGGCTGTGTGGTCCTGGTGCCACCGCCAGCGCTGAAGCCCGACTCCAAGCTCACCCTCCCGCTCGACATCAACGACTACCCCATGGCCAAGTACGTGCGGGGCCACTTCCAGGTAAGGTGGGCGCCGTGGCCCGGTGGCGGGGAGCCTGCCCGGGGGGGCAGCCGGTTTTCGGGGAGTCCTCGGTGCCCTGGACGTGGCTGAGCAGTTAGGTTCAGGGTCCCCACGGCGGCTCTGCCCGGCGGCTCCCCGCACCATCCCACCGGGCTCTGCCCCGGCTTCGGCCCCCGGGGATGCCACGGGGTGTGAGAAGGGGCCGGATCCGGGGCGGCGGCGGTGCTGCGGGGAGCCGGCTGCCGCCTCCTTCCCTCCCCTTGGGTTCCTGTCGTCTCCAGAGCCCGGGGGGACCCCGCTGAGGTTATCGGAGAGAGACCCACCAAGCCCTCCTGGATGCCCGGCGCGGGGCGGATTCGGAAACGCTGGGGCGGGAGACCAGGTTGCTTTGCTCCCGGGACCCCGACCCCATCTCCAGTCACTTTGTCCCCTTCCTCCTCCTCGACCCCTATTTTTGCCGCATTTTTCTTCGTCCCCAGCATCCCAAACAACAGCGCCAGGGCCAGATCCTGCTCCCAGTCTCTCCGAGGTGCTGGCATCTCTGGTGGTGCCAGCACAGCCTGAGCCCATCCCTGTCCCGCTGCCGGGAGGCTGCCAGCCCCATCCTGTGCCCCAGCCCCTTCACAGCCCCATAGCCCCCATCCAGCATCAATGCCATGCTCAGCGCCATGGGGCTGGCCCCCCAAGGCACGGGGCTGTCCCCAGGGCCTGGGTAGCCATGGGTGCGGGTGTCACCGCAGGAGCCAGCGTTTGGGATGCTGACGGCCCCCCTGGCAGCCCCCCTCACCCGGCTGGATGAGGATCTGTGCCACGAGGCTCTCAGCCTCTTCCAGCTGGTAGGTGGGAAGGTGCAGGATCTGGCACCACAGTCCCCTGCCCACTCCCTACCCGGGGGCCAGAGGGAGGACCTCACTGTCCCTGTGCCAGCACAGCCTGAGCCCATCCCTGTCCCGCTGCCGGGAGGCTGCCAGCCCCATCCTGTGCCCCAGCCCCTTCACAGCCCCATAGCCCCCATCCAGCATCAATGCCATGCTCAGCGCCATGGGGCTGGCCCCCCAAGGCACGGGGCTGTCCCCAGGGCCTGGGTAGCCATGGGTGCGGGTGTCACCGCAGGAGCCAGCGTTTGGGATGCTGACGGCCCCCCTGGCAGCCCCCCTCACCCGGCTGGATGAGGATCTGTGCCACGAGGCTCTCAGCCTCTTCCAGCTGGTAGGTGGGAAGGTGCAGGATCTGGCACCACAGTCCCCTGCCCACTCCCTACCCGGGGGCCAGAGGGAGGACCTCACTGTCCCTGTGGCAGATCCTACGGTTCATGGGGGACCCGGGGCTGGGCGGCCCACAGGAGACCCTCTTCGGCAACTACATCGTGCAGAAGGGGCTGTCGGTACCAGGGCTGCGGGATGAGCTCCTGGCACAAGCTGCCAACCAGGTCTGGCGTAACACCAACGTCAACAACGAGGAGCGGGGTTGGCTGCTGTTGGCCGCCTGCCTCAGCGCCTTCCCCCCCTCCGCCGCCTTCGACAAGTACCTTCTCAAGTGAGCCTGGGCTGGGGACGGGGATGGGGACTGAGGCTGGCTGGGACCCTCGGGGATAGCCTGGTACTCATGCCTGGGGACACTGTTAGGTCTCTCCAGACCAGCCTGGCACATGCTGCCCAGATCCTACCAGGTCCCTCCAAGATCCCTTGGGCCATATGTGCCCAGAGATGCTAACCAGGTCCTGCTGGGGATGCTCTAAGATCCCTCCATGGTCCTCGGGGCCAGCCTGGCACACATGGCCAGGGACTGTGGTCAGGGTCCTCCAGAATCCCTTGGACCGGCCTGGAGCATACATCCAGAAGCACTGCCCGGATCCCTCTAGGAATGCTCTGAGGTCCATCCGTGGTCCCTGGGGCCAGCCTGGCACACATGGCCAGGGATTGTGGTCAGGTTCCTCCAAAATCTCTTGGACCAGCCTGGCACATACATCCAGGGGCACTGCCTGGATCCCTCTAGGGATGCTCTGAGGTCCATCCGTGGTCCCTGGGGCCAGCCTGGCACACATGGCCAGGAATTATGCTGAGGTTCCTCCTTTGGCCAGCCTGGCACATGTGCCTAGGGATGCTCTTAGTCCCTCCGTGGGCCAACCTGGCACCCGTCTGGGGATGCTGCCCAGGTCCCTCCTGCAGCATCTTCCCTTCCCTGCAGGTTTGTCTCTGACTATGCCTTTGCTGGCTACAAGCCGGTGTGCCAGCGCAAGCTGATGCACGCCATGGCGCGGTCGCAGCTGGGTGCCGAGGCTGCCCGCGCCTTCCCGCCCTCGCTGCTGGAGTGGACGGCGAACCGGCAGCAAGCCAGCATGGCGCTCGACCTCCACTGCTTCAACGGTGCGGGGCGGCGCGGGGCTGGGGACGGGGAGGTGGGGAGGGTCGGTCCCCACTTGACCACCCTGCTACCATCACGGGCAGGAGGTGACCGGCGGGACCTGCTCACCGCCCATCCCTCCCCAGGCGACCAGTTCTCCTGCCCCATCCACTCCTGGAGCACGGGCGAGGACCTGGCAGGGGATGTCCTGAAGCACAGGTACCTGCCAGTTTGGGCACCTCCCCAGCCAGCGGGGCAAGCTTGGGGCACAGCATCACCCTGGGGTCACTGCGGGTGACCTCAGGATGTGGAATGCCCAGCTCGTGGGCAGGTTGTCCCCATGGAGCCAGGGCACTGCTGGCAGTCCGTCACCATCCCCAACGTCCTCCTGTTGGCAGGGGCCTGGTGGAGGGCTGGCGTGGTTGGTCCGTGGCCATGAAGGCAGGTGCCCAGTGGGCTGAGCTGGCCGGCCACGACTATGTCTTGGACCTCATCTCTGACCTCGAGCTGCTCCGGGGCTTCCCCAAGCAGAAGTCCTGCTTCCTCATCGGATGGGAGGGGGCCGAGAGCCATGGCGGGGACAGCCGGGCGTAGGTACCCGGGCAGGGATGGGTCCCCCACCATAGGGCTGGTGGGGAGATGGTGACACTGGGCTGGATGGGCACTGGCAGAGGCGTGGGTCAGGGTCCTGGGTAGGGGTCTGGCACCCAGTGGGATGAGCACATCCTCCCTCCCTGCAGGGTGCTGGGACACGGCTTGGATTTGGATGAAGTCCCTCCTCCTCCAGCCGTGAAAGCCCCCACACTGCCATCCACGGAGGCGTACCCCACCCATGGTAGGGCACCTTTTCCCCTTGCCCCCCCCTGGAGCTACTGGTGGGGCCATGCTGGTGAAGCCCTGCCGTGCCAGTGCAGCCCTGCCACCGGCATCTCATCCTTCCTCATCCCCCACCAGATGGGGAATTTGGGGAGCCCCGGAGCCAGAAGGGTCTGGACCGGTACCTGGACAGCCTCTTTGACCCTGTGCTCTCCTACGGCAATGGGGTAAGAGGGGCATCCCCCTGCCCAAGGCAGAAAGGGTCCAGCATTTTGGGGGTGCAGGTGGTTTAGCATCTGTCCCCTGATGCCTGCCCCCCAGGAGCTGGAGAAGCCAGCTGCTGTCTCACAGAGGATGAAGGGAGGAGGTGGCACAGGAGGGGGGGACAGCAATGGCAATGAGCGGAGAGGACCCCCAGTGCCCACGGAGACACGTCAACCGAGGGGTGAGCACCCGAAGTGCTCCTGCATCCCAGCCCAGCTCCCTGCCTCAGTTTCTCCACCTGGTCCCTGGTGTGGGGACATCCCTGCACCCAGCACCCCACATCCCCAGTGTGGGGCTGCAGGATGTTGAGCTCTCCTCCTTCGCTGTCACAGGCCCACAGCCAGCTCCGTCCCCACAGCACCGGGCAGATGCCAACCAGCCACCTGGACCCCCGGTCAGTGGGGCAGGGTTGGGGGTGGCTGGGAGAGGTCGAGCCCTGCCCAACCTCTGCTATGGGGCAGTTCTCCTGGGCAGCTCCCTAGGGATGGAGACAGCTGGGGGGATGCTGGATCCTCACGGCAGTGTCCCTTGTAGGGCAGAGCAGCGGAGGGGACACCGGTCCGTGCCCCACAGCCCCGGCCCTACTTGCAGAAAGCTGGTAAGGGGTCCCAGTGCAATGAGGGGGGTAATGGGGGCTCATGGTCCCACGCATGAGGGTGATGTCCATCCCCCCACCCTGAGCCACCTGCTTGGCCCCGCAGCACCCGTGGGCCGGCGCTGGCCGGGTGAGCTGGTCCGGCATTCCCGGCTCAACTCGGAGCACTTCCCTCGGCCCACGCACGACATCCGCAACATCATCCGGCAGTGTCAGCCGGCCCCACGCGGCTCCCAGCCCCCCAGGTACACACCCGGGCTTCTCCTGCTGGGGTGCAGGAGATGCTGGGGGTGGGGGTCATGCTGGGGTGCAGGTGAAACTGGGATGCAAGTGATTCTGGGGTGCAGGTGATGCTGGGATGCAAGTGATTCCAGACACAGGTGATGCTGGGATGCAGGTGATCCTGGGGTGCAGGTGATGTTGGGATATAGGTGATGTTGGGTTATAGGTGATGCTGGGATGCAGGTGATTCCAGATGCAGGTGATTCCAGATGCAGGTGATGCTGGGATGCAGGTGATCCTGGGGTGCAGGTGATGCTGGGATGCAGGTGAATCCAGACACAGGTGATGCTGGGGTCCAGGTGATGCTGGGATGTAGGTGATTCCAGACACAGGTGATACTGGGATGCAGGTGATGCTGGGATGCAGGTGAATCCAGGCACAGGTGATGCTGGGGTGCAGGTGATTCCAGACACAGGTGATACTGGGATGCAGGTGATGCTGGGATGCAGGTGATTCCAGACACAGGTGATGCTGGGGTGCAGGCAATTTAAGGTGCTGTCTCCACAGCAAGCTCTTTGGGAAGAAGCTGGACCCCCATGAGGAAGCCATGCAGATCCTGAAGGAGCAGCTCTCGGCAGCCCGGGTACCAGCGGCTGGGGTAGGGATGTGGCTGCCCCCGTGTCCCCCACATGGGGCTGGGGGAGCCGCCGGCCCTGACTGCAGCCTGCTCTCTCTTTGCAGGGCCCCAAGGAGGTGGTGGCCACCGTGAAGCCGGTCACCAGCGGCAGGTACCCACTGCGAGCACCATCGGGGCGTCCGGTGGCCAGCCGGCCCCCAGGTACCGCAGGGCACCTTGTCCCCTGGGGGGGTCAGGGCAGAGTGGGGCACCTCATCCTCCCTGGTGGCACCAGGTGATGCCTAATACAGCTGGACGTGGGTCTAGCTCCACAGCATCCTCATGGGATAACTCCCGTGCCTGGCTAAACCCTCCCCACCCCACAGCTGGGCTCCCTGCCTCAGTTTCCCCAGAAGGAGAGGGGCTGTTAGTGGTGCCCCCCCAACCCCCCAGGGATGTGCAGGGCTTTCCATCCCTTCGCAGTCTTCGTCTCGCGGGAGCTCCCATCCGAGGGGCAACAGGTCCAGACCCAGCTGCACCGGAGCTGCAGCGAGGACTTCTACACCTACCACAACGTGCCCTGGAAAATATACATCCGCAAGGAGGTGCGGGGATGGGGCGGGAGGACAAGGTGGTGTCAAAGTGTTGTGGGGATAAAGGAGGCTTTTCGTTGAGCCCCAGCCCCTGTGGGGTGGGCGATACCAGTGATGCTGTGCTGGTCTCCCTCCTGGCAGGTTTTCTACCCCAAGGACAGCATCAACAACCCACTGCTGCTTGACCTCATCTTCCGGCAGGTGAGGAACGAACTGGTCCTAAAGCCCCCCACCCGGGGGGTCCCTGGGAACTGGGGTATCCCCTCACCTTGGCTGCCCCAAGCCACAGGGGACTGTGCAGGGCAGAGGGGCTGGGGGGCACATCGCTCCCCCTGCACGGCCCTGCTGGTCCTCACCCCCTTTCCCCAGATCTTCAACGACACGCTCTCTGACACCTGCATCCGGATCAGCCAGGAGGAGCGGCTCCGCTTGAAATCCCTCTTTGGTATTCCTCACCCACACCCCTGCATCCCACTGCTCCCGGGCTGGGGGGCTCACACCCGGGGGTCTCTCAAACCCAGTTATTCTGGTGCCCATCCTCATCTCCTGGGCATCTCCAGGTCACAACCGGCTCTGCTTAAAGCCAGGGTAGTTTTGCCTCCAAGTGCAACGAGTCCCCTGTGACTTAGTGCTCCACAAAGTGATGAGTTGTGTCAGATCTCAGCAAGGATTGCTGTGTTAGGGGGTGCCCAGGGTGGGGAGTTGGGGGGTCCCGTCTTTCTATCACAGTCCTGCCAGGCTGGGGAAGGGGATGAAAGAAATTTTTTACTCAGGAAGAAATTTTTTACTATGAGGGTGGTGAGACACTGGAACAGGTTGCCCAGGGAAGTTGTGGATGCCCCATCCCTGGAGGTGTTCAAGGCCAGGCTGGATGTGGCCTTGAGCAACCTGCTCTAGTGGGAGTGTCCCTGCCCGTGGCAGGGAGGTTGGAACTAGATGATCTTTGAGGTTCCTTCCAACCCTAACCATTCTATGATTCTATGAGCGTCCCCACTCTCCCCTTGAACCCTGCATCCGGATCCTCCCTGGGAAGGGGGGGACACTCACCAGCGGGTATTTCTCTCTGCAGCGGAAAACAAGCTGGACTCCTTCAGCCCCGTGGCCACCGAGAGCGTCAAGAGGGAGATCATTGCTGCAGCCCGCGACGGCTGCGAGGTGTATTTCTCACGCCTCTTCCCAGCCACGGTGAGGGTCCAGCCGTGGGGTGGGTGGGTGTGGGGGACACTCCAGCCCTGTGCCCCTGGCTGAGGGCAGCGTCCCGGCCCCCCAGGGCAGCGTGGGGACAGGCGTGCAGATCCTGGCTGTGTCCCACACCGGCATCAAGCTGCTGCGGCTGGTGAAGGGCACCAACGTCCCCGGGGAGCAGCTGCGGGTGCTGCGGATGTACAGGTAGGGGTGAGAAGCCAGGGTGGCTGGGGTGGGTGAGTGGGATGGATGCTGTGGGTGCCGGGTGTTTCAGCCTCCCCTCGCCCTGCCCCAGCTACGCCGATGTGCTGTTCGTCACCACCCCGTCCAGGAACATGCTGGAGTTCAACCTGCGCAGCGAGAAGCTCATCCTCTTCTCCCCCAAAGCCTCCCAGGTCAAAGCCATGGTCGACCAGTTCATCACGGAGCTCAGGAAGGTGGGGGGTACCCTGGGGCTGGGGGGGGACAGCTGAGGGCACGTCCTGTGGGCTGAGCCCTGCCTGTGTGCCTGTGTTTGGGGGGCCGGGGTGGGCAGCGGAGGGCACCCTGCAAATGGGACCATAGCTGAGACGAGAACCCTGGGGTGGTCCTGCAGCCAAGGGTGGTTGAAGCCCCTGTGCCGTGTGTGCGTGGATGTGTGTGGGTGTGCATCGGTGTGCTTGTGTGCATGGGCTGTGCCAGCCCCCCCTGTGCCCAGGACTCCCAGTATGTGGTGGCCGTGAGGAACTACAGCCCAGAGGATGGGCGCCAGCTCAGCTTCCACAAAGGGGACATCATCCATCTGCAGCCTCTGGAGCGCCCCGAGAGAGGTGAGTGGCCCCCCCTCAACCCCCCATGCCAAAACACCCTCAATGAGGGGCATGGGGGCAGCAGGACTGATGGTTTCACTGGCCCTGGAGGTGGCCGTGCCCTGGCCTCGCATCCTGTGACAATCTGTGTCCCCATAATGTCCCTGCAGACCACTACTATGGCTGCGTGGTCCGCAAGAAGGTGATGTACCTTGAGGAGCTGAAGACAGGCACCCAGGATTTTGGTGGGTGCCATGATGTCCCTGTGCATGTCCCCAGTGTGCATACACTGCCCTGAGCTGCGTCACCTCCTGGGGCTGGGGCACGGGGCAGGATCCTGCCTCTGTCACCCCCCAGCAGGATGGTCTGGGGTCTTTTTGGCACTGACCTGATGCAGGGGGACGCTCCCCTGCAGCTCCCACCCCGGGTGTCACCGAGTGCTCCCTCACATCCCTGAGGGATGGGCTTAGTGGCCTCTGCTCTGTGCCATTACCTTGAGCAATGCCAAACCATAGCCGTTTCCACCCAAAACTCACATCCTGCCCCCCTGGAAAGAGGCTTTTTTTGGGGGTCACCCCCAGGGCTGCCGTCCTGAGGCCATCCCCACCATCTGCCCGGTGCAGGGTGGAAGTTCGGGGCCATCTATGGCAGGTCGGGGCTCTTCCCCACCGAGTACGTCCAGCCCGTCGCAGCCCCTGACTTCGTCCACTTGCCAGCGGAGAGGAAAGAGGAGCCCAGGGACAAGCAGGGCAAGGTGGCATCTTCGGCTGCTGTGGCTGTGGCCGTGGCCTCCACCGCTGTGGCCCAGGAGTTGGACCGGAAAACCGAGGTGGGTGCTGGCCCAGGGCTGTTGCCAGCACGGTGTTGGTGTGGTATGGTGTCCCCGACACCCACCGTCCCTCTCCATAGGTGTCCCCCACCAGCACAACCTTTGTGGAGGGTCTGGGGGGAGATGGCAGCGAGCGGCTGGGGGCCGCCGTGGGGACCTGCCCCATGTTGGCCTTCGCCCGGCGGTATTTCCGCGCAGTGCGGCATGGGACCACGTGAGTGCCTGATGATGGGATGGGGACAACCATCCCATCGGGACACCCATGCTCACCCCTTCCCTCGTCCCTCTCCCAGGGAATCCTGCGGGACAAGGACAAAGAGGGATGTGCCTGATGCGATGGAGATGCTGACGTTCACCAAGGTACAGGGAAGCAGGGTGCCTCGGGGTGCCCCTGCTCTGCTGTCACCTGCGGGTCCCTCCCAAAGTCCTGGTGTGCTTAAAAGCACCCCAAATGCCACCCCAATCCCATTCCCCCGGCTGCTCTTGGGACTTGACCCTCTCCCCCTCCAGATCCCCATCCAGGAGTCACTCATCGAATTTGTGGATGGTGGCATCAGCAAACTGGCCACCGAGGCTTTCCAAGGTAGGCAAGGGGACACAAACACCCTGCCCCCCCTGCACCACAACCATCCCCAGCCCCATCTTTGGAGGAGGCTGGGGGCAGGACTGGGGTGGGCAGATGGGGTGGCCTGGGAAGGGTTTAGATCCTGGTCCTGCTCGGAGGAGGCTGGGGGCAGCACTGGGGTGGGCAGAAGGGGTGGCCTGGGAAGGGTTTAGATCCTGGTCCTGTTGCCCCAAGCGCTTGGAATATTGCCCACACCCAGTGGAGCATGTGCCTGGGGAAGGGAAGGAACAGGGTGAGCTGTGTCACTGTGTGGCTTTATCGTCCCCAGCCGTGATGAAGTTCATGGGTGACCACCCTCTGCGGGGGCAGACGGAGCTGGATGCCATCTGCACCGTCCTCAAGGTAAATCCCCCTTTGGGGCGGTGAATCCTGGGGGGGTGGCCTGAGGAGGAGGGTGGCAACAGGGGATGTCCCCAGCCGCAGAGCGAGCCGTGCCTGTCCCCCAGCTGTGCGCGGAGCACGAGGTCCTGCGGGACGAGGTGTACTGCCAGATCATCAAGCAGGTCACCAACAACACCAGCTCCAAGCCGTGAGTCCCTGCACCCGTGGCATCTACCCCAGCTGGGACAGCATAGTCTGGCTCAAGGGACACTTGTGTCCCCAACCAGGCTGAGCAAGCCCAACATGGGGGAAGACCCGCGGACCCCAACCTCACAGAGGGCTGCGTTGCTCCTCGGGGTGGTGGGTGCCATTGCAGCTGCTGTGGGCACCCTCGCCCTCCCTGGGGGCTCAACCCTGGCTCTTCCCGGCAGGGACAGCTGCCAGAAGGGCTGGAGGCTGCTCTACATCCTCGCTGCCTACTACAAATGCTCTGAGGTGCTCAAACCCTTCCTCCTGGCCTTCCTGCAGGATGCCAGCAGGCACCCGGAGCTGCCCTTCCAGGGTAGGGGCTGTGCACACCCAGCACACGGTGGGGAAGGACACCCAGGGGTGTCATGGGGCTCTGGCGAGGTGGCTCTGCCCCATCCTTCACCCTGGTCCCCCTCCCCACCAGGCATCGCCAAAGCCTGTGAGCAAAACCTGCGGAAGACCCTGCAGTTTGGTGGCCGCAGCCTCTTCCCCAGCAGCATGGAGCTCAAGGCCATGGTGGTGAGAACGGGCACCCGTGGGGCACAGAGCAGGGCTGATGTCACCTTGAGATCCTCCCTGGAGGTTTGGGATCCCCCCATGGGCTCGGGATCCCCACCATGGGTTCGGGATCTGCCCCCCTCCAGACACTGCCCTGGGGCTGAGCTGATGACCCCTTGCTGGGGTGGGGAGCCCAGTCCTTTGTGGGGGCTGCTCTCCAGGGGCACTGCTTTGGAGGTGCCCTGGGCTTTCAGGGGTCCCCAGCAGGAATCGTGCATGCAGGGTGGGGGGCACAATGGCTCACCCGGGCCAGATACAGGATGATCCTCATGGGGTGGTCCCCGTGGAATAGCTTGGGGATTTGGGGTGTCCTTTGCGGTCGTGCTGTGCGAAGGGCCCCCCTGCACCCCACTGTGTCCCCCCCCCAGCACACGGCGGGGAAGGACACCCAGGGGTGTCACGGGGCTCTGGAGAGGTGGCTCTGCCCCATCCTTCACGCTGGTCCCCCTCCCCACCAGGCATCGCCAAAGCCTGTGAGCAAAACCTGCGGAAGACCCTGCAGTTTGGTGGCCGCAGCCTCTTCCCCAGCAGCATGGAGCTCAAGGCCATGGTGGTGAGAATGGGTGCCCGTGGGGCGCAGAGCAGGGCTGATGTTACCTTGAGATCCTCCCTGGAGGTTTGGGATCCCCCCATGGGCTCGGGATCCCCACCATGGGTTTGGGATCCGCTTCCCCCCAGACACTGCCCTGGGGCTGAGCTGATGACCCCTTGCTGGGGTGGGGAGCCCAGTCCTTTGTGGGGGCTGCTCTCCAGGGGCACTGCTTTGGAGGTGCCCTGGGCTTTCAGGGGTCCCCAGCAGGGATGCAGCTCTGTGCATGTGGGGTGGGGGGCACGATGGCTCACCTGGGCCAGATACAGGATAATGTCCATGGGGTGGTCCCCGTGGAATAGCTTGGGGAATCGTGCATGCAGGGTGGGGGGCACAATGGCTCACCCGGGCCAGATACAGGATGATCCTCATGGGGTGGTCCCCGTGGAATAGCTTGGGGATTTGGGGTGTCCTTTGCGGTCCTGCTGTGCAAAGGGCCCCCCTGCACCCCACTGTGTCCCCCCCACGCAGGCTGGACGCAGTGCCAAGCGCCAGCTCTTCCTCCTGCCCGGTGGCATCGAGAGGCACCTCAAGATCAAGACGTGCTCGGTGAGTTGGAGAGGACAACAGGCTTGGGGACAAGAGACTTGGTGCAACCCAGGCTCGTGGTGACCCCTGCGTTGGGGGCACCCCGAGGTAGTGGGGCTGCACCCCTCAGCTGTCCCTGAGCTGGGGGACTTTGTTTTTTGGGAAAGGGACATCCCTTCCCAGGGCAGCCACATGGGATGGGCCTCAATGCAGGACCCGTTGGTGGCCCAGAGCGTGACAGGGGGATGTGGTGGCATCCCATCTGCCTGTCCCCATGCCCAGGTGGCTCTGGACGTGATTGAGGAACTGTGCAACGAGATGGGCCTGCAGCACCCAGAGGCTTTTGACGAGTACATCCTCTTCGTGGTGACCGACAGAGGTGAGGGGCTGGTGGGGCAGCCACATGGGATGGGCCTCAATGCAGGACCCGTTGGTGGCCCAGAGCGTGACAGGGGGATGTGGTGGCATCCCATCTGCCTGTCCCCATGCCCAGGTGGCTCTGGACGTGATTGAGGAACTGTGCAACGAGATGGGCCTGCAGCACCCAGAGGCTTTTGAAGAATACATCCTCTTCGTGGTGACCGACAGAGGTGAGGGGCTGGTGGGGACGGCTGTGCCGCTGGTGGGTGCCACACGTGGTGGGTGGCCATGCTCAGGCTCCCGGGGTGGCACAGGGCAGAGCGTGCGGCCGCTGACCCGCCGGGAATATGTCCTGGACGTGGCCGCCGAGACGGAGCGCAGGGACACCAGCTACACCTTCTGGTGCCGCCGCGTGGTCTGGAGCCAGCCCCTCAAGTTCGACAACGAGCTCTACGTCACCGTGCACTACAACCAGGTGGGGCCACCCCACCCGGCTCCCCCGTGGCCACCTCCCTGTCCCCCTTCCCTGTCTCCAAGCCATGTCCCTGCATTCTGTCCCCTCCCCACAGGTGCTCCCCGACTACCTCAAGGGGCTGTTCACCATCCTGCCGCCTGCCAGGGCAGGAGAGCAGCACTTCCCACAGGTGGCCAAGCTGGCCGCCCTCCAGCACCGAGCCAAGGACCGCCACCACGTCCCCACCGCGTACGACCTGGGGCATGGGGGCCTGGGAGGGGGACATCCCATGGGGTGCAGGACCCACCAGGGCCGGTGCTTGGCCCTGACCTCCGGTTCCCCGCAGGCGGGAGGTGCAGGACTACGTCCCCCCCCAGCTCTTCCGCCTGCTGAAAGCCCAGTCCTGGCTCCACATGGTGACCCAGCACATGCAGCAAGCCCAGGCGCTCAGCGCCCACCAGGCCAGGGCACAGTTCCTGGGTGAGCGGGCACGGGACCACCGGGATGGGGAGGGGATGCCAAGGGGGAAGCCATGCTAACGGGGAGGTGAGGCTGCAGGGGAGGTGATGCTGCCAGGGATGCAGTGCTAATGAGGACACAGCCTAATGAGGATGCAAGGCTGCCGGGGATGTGACGCTGCTGGCGATGCGATGCTGATTGTGTCTTCCTAACGAGGACACAATGCTAATGAGGAGTCAATGCTGCTGGAGATGCAATGCTGCTGGGGAGGAAAGGCTGCTGGGGGGCATGATGCTTCTGGGGATGCAAAGCTGCCCAGGAGGCGATGCTGCCAAAGATGAGATGCTGCCCGGGATGCGATGCTGCTGGGTGGCTTCTCCGTGGGGAGGCTGGGACAGGCAGATCTCAGTCCCTTGTGGAGCCTGGGGGTGGTGGACATGGTGGGACAGGTCTGAGATGGCAGGGCAGGCTGCTCCCAGGTCCCACACTTGGCCACCCACTTTCCCAGCAGGCTGCAATGGGACCCCTTGGCTGCTCCTGCTTCAGAGCCTGAAGCCACCCAAAGCTCTGGGAGCTGACCCAGCTCCTGCCAGGCATGGGGCTGGCTGGGACCCTTGGCAGAGCCCCTGTGGGTGCAAGCCACCCTTGGGTCCAGGCGGGAGGGGGTGGCAGCAGGTGCTGAGACCCCGTCCTCCGCCCCGCAGGGCTGCTGAGTGCCTACCCCATGTTTGGCTCGTCCTTCTTCTACATCCAGAGCTGCAGCAACAACGCCATCATCTCACCCTGCATCTTGGCCGTCAACCAGAACGGCCTCAACTTCCTCAGCAAGGAGACCCACGTAGGTGGAGGGGCTGGGGGGGGGCACGGAGGCCCGTGGGTACCACCCAGCCCCCCCTCCGTCCTGCTGCAGGGCCAGACCCCGGTGACACTGTGAGATGTGAAGGCAGGTGGTGGGATGATGGTTGGGGATGGTGTCCCCAGGTTTGGCCTCAGTTGGCCAGCTCTGCCTGCCCGTGCCCACCTTGTCCTAGTGATGCAGCCCCCCCTGCCACCCCATCCTGCCCCCGCTCCAGTCCTCGGTCCCCTCGGGGGGGTTCCAGGCTCTTGTGGGCCACCTGTCTTGTCCCCTCCAGGAGCCCATCGCCAAGTTCTCGCTGAAGGAGATCCAGTCGACACGGACGCAGCGGCCGACGGCCGGGTCCAGCTCCCCCTACGTGGAGATCACGCTGGGCGACCTCCTGGCCCAGGGCATCACCCAGCTGCAGCTAGAGCAGGTAGGAGACACCCAAGGGTGTGTGTGTGTGTGTGTGTGCGTGTCCCCTGCCTGCTGGGGGTCCCGCCGTGGTGGCACAGCCACCAACAGCGTGTGTGTGTCCCCCTGAATCCTTGGCAGGGCCTGGAGCTGTGCCGCGTGGTGGCCGCGCACATGGAGCGGCTGCTGGGAGCCCGGGAGAAGAGGCTGACGCTGCCGCCCAGCGAGATCACCCTGCTCTGAGCCCACCGCGGGACCCCCACCACGGGGGGGGACAGAGGATGCACCCACCCCGGGGTGTCCCCAGCACCTGGCCGTCCCCCTGTGTCCACATCTCCCCCCTTCACTGTTGTTCTTGGGGTTTATACACACCCGTGAGCCCGGCCCCACTCGGCGTCTGTGCTTTTGTGCCGCGCTCGGTGATGCGGGGGGTGCTCACCCCTCCGGGCCTCAGCTTCCCCCACCCCCTGCCTCAGTTTCCCCCATGCTCCCTCTCAGTTTCCCCTTGCTCTCCCTACCTCAGTTTCCCCCCAGCCCTCTTGCCCCAGTTCCCCCTTGTTCCTCCCAGCCTGTTTCCCCCAACCCTCCTGCCCCAGTTTCCCCCAATCCCCCGTGCCTCAGTTTCCCCCAATCCCCCGTGCCTCAGTTTCCCCCAATCCCCCGTGCCTCAGTTTCCCCCAATCCCCCGTGCCTCAGTTTCCCCCAATCCCCCGTGCCTCAGTTTCCCCCAATCCCCCGTGCCTCAGTTTCCCCCAATCCCCCGTGCCTCAGTTTCCCCCAATCCCCCGTGCCTCAGTTTCCCCCAATCCCCCGTGCCTCAGTTTCCCCCAATCCCCCGTGCCTCAGTTTCCCCCAATCCCCCGTGCCTCAGTTTCCCCCAATCCCCCGTGCCTCAGTTTCCCCCAATCCCCCGTGCCTCAGTTTCCCCCAATCCCCCGTGCCTCAGTTTCCCCCAATCCCCCGTGCCTCAGTTTCCCCACAACCCCCCGTGCCTCAGTTT